GTGATGAACCTCGGCAAGATTAAATAATAATAATAATAATAATTCTTTATTGACATTCATAGTTCACAATTTGAAATGGGTAGAAACCTGAGTCTCCTAGCTAGGTTACTGAGTAATATGTATTTAGGAAATACAGTCCCATCCCCCCTGTTGATTAGGAATACATAGTTGTATTGTTTAAAATTATTATAATTTTTTAAATAGAAATAATATTTATACAATTTTAGAGACATAATAAAAATAATCTCTCTCTCTCTCTCTCTCTCTCTGTGTGTGTGTGTGTGTGTGTGTGTGTGTGTGTGTGTGTGTGTGTGTATGTGTGTGTGTGTGTGTGTGTATGTGTGTGTGTGTGTGTGTGTGGGTGTGGGTGTGTGTCAGTGAATGTATATGTAATACTTAAAAAAAATGAAATAAATATATAACAATGCGACGTAATTTTATAACAATGTTAACAAGTATTGCTCTGTATCATCATATGACTTATTTAGCAGGAAAGAGCGGACAGAAGTTTTACAATTAAATGTTGACATTTCGTAAATCTCTACTTCCGCATTTATTTTGTTGTAAAGTAGAGGACCTAGATAGTAAACAAATCTTTTTACAAATGAAAATTTGGCTAGCGGAAGTGTGCATACTTTGTCTTTACGCCGTTTAGAAATTACAATGAAAGGAGTCTTATTATGCTGAAGTAATACTGTGTGCAGTATAAAGAGCTGCCTCACACTAAGAACAGCGCAGTTTTGATATAGATGAGTAGTTGGAAATAGCATTGGTTTGAAAGTAGCAACCTTTAAGATAGCTCTTTGCGCAACTTCAAGTGGCTTTAATATTGTTTTTGCAACACCACCCCAGCAAGAAATGCAATATGTGATGATAGACTGGCATAAAGCATAATAAACGTTGCGTATAATTATGGAATTTGCAACATATCGTAGTGTTTTAAATATATATATTAGCTTGCGAACTTTACTCGTTAAGAGATTTATATGCATTTTAAAATTAAGGTTGTGGCCGTGGTAGGAAAAGGGGAGATCTCCCGCCGGGCAAGGTGTTCTGCCCGGGGAGCGGCTCACACTCCGTGTGATAATTCGGAGATGTTCTATATATACTGTTTATGATTCGGAATGTTGATAGCGCGATTTAGGCTTCGGTGTGTTTTCGCTTGAGGCGGCGACGACAGCGCCGCTACATCACCCCCCTGCTCAGACCGGAGGTCGTTAGTGCGGCCTTGTTGCCGACGAATGTGCAAGTGCCAGTGGATTGCCTTGTAGTCTGCGGTGAGTCGAGAAGAAGGCAAGTAATCTGCGAGAGTGCCGTGAAGCAGAGGCGAGCAGTAAGGCTCAGAGCCGTGCCGAACACTGTATAGCGCAGAGAGTAGCTTGAAGAAACAGGAAGCATTATTATTCCAATGCTGCGATGAACCTTGTGAAGCTAGATGGCTTGCAGGATATGAAGACTGCAGACGATATCTGCTCGGGAGCGATACGGTGGGGTATTCAATGACGATGATGAAGCTTGAAGTTTCCGAAAGTTGTTGGTTGCGTGTTCAGATCACGTCGGGGTCACCACTGTGGCCGTGGTAGGAAAAGGGAGATCTCCCGCCGGGCAAGGTGTTCTGCCCGGGGGAGCGGCTCACACTCCGTGTGATAATTCGGAGATGTTCTATATATACTGTTTATGATTCGGAATGTTGATAGCGTGATTTAGGCTTCGGTGTGTTTTCGCTTGAGGCGGCGACGACAGCGCCGCTACAAGGTGTTTATCAAGTACAATACCTAGATACTTTATATTGTCTACAGAATTTATCTGTGGACACAGACAAGGCGAAGACTGTAGGGAACAAGAGTGAGCTTTTAACTTGATGGGAATATTTGGTTGCGAGGTGGGACTGATAGAGAAAGTTATAAATTTAGTTTTGGAAGTATTAAGAGTAAGAGTGTGAGATAAAAGCCAATTATATATTTGATTAAAACTACGTTGTGATATATTTTCAAGATCTTTCCAAGATGTTGCATAGAAAGTAACAGCTGTATCATCTGCAAAAGAGACTATTTTTGCGTTATCAATGTGAAGATTGCACAAGTCATTAATAAAAACAAGAAATAGAGTTGGGCCAAGAATACTTCCCTGGGGGACACCATAGGTAACAGGGAGTTCGTCACCGATGCAGTCCGATATTTTAACCATTTGAGTGCGATTTGTAAGGTAACTTCTGAAAAAGTCTAACTGTAAACCTCTGACACCAATTTTTTCTAACTTACCTAAAAGAGTAGAAACAGGAATTGAGTCAGGCTTTTGCTAGATCTAGAAATATCGTTAGGAGCTTTTTATTACTATTTAGATTAGTGACTATGAAATTTATTAAATCATGAACTGCGTCAGAAGTTGATTTATTTCTACGAAATCCGAATTGTTGAGGTGAGATTAATTTAAAGTGTTCAAGATAATGGACCAGTCTATTATTCACTAAACGTTCTAAGACTTTAGATAAAGCTGGTAGTACGGCAATAGGGCGATAATTAGTAACTAAAGTCCCATCACCACCCTTGAAGATGGGATGAATTATAGACTTTTTTAAAGAGTTAGGAAAAATAGCATTTTCGAAACAGAGATTGAATATATGGCTTAGCACAGGTGCTAGCGAAGCAGAGTATCTTTTTAATATTGCGGAAGATATGGCATCCCAACCGGTAGCTACATTTGACTTTAAACTCTTTATGATTGATATTATTTCATCAGTATTGGGTTTTTCAAGAACAAAAGAAGAAATACATGTAAAAGATTGTGAAGAAATAAACTGAGGTAAATTGTTAGACTTAATTATATTGTCCGCAAGCTCCTTTCCTACATCAACGAAAAATTTGTTAACATTATTGCATGATTGTTTTAGAGACCTTGCCTGTGTAACTAACTGACATGTTGCTTGTTTATTGTGGAATGTATTTGTGATTTTTTTTATAGTATCCCAAAGTGCTTTAGGGTTTTTTCCTGCTTTACTTATTTCTTGAGCATCATAATCTCTCTTTGCTTTCTTTAAAATTTTTATTCAGAATTTTCTATACCGCTTATAAGTGATAGACAGTGTTAAATTATTAGGAGACTTTTTTACTTTTCTATGAATTGAATCTCTATTTTTTATACACCTTAACAAACCCGGTGTCATCCACGGTTTAAGTATTCTATTTCTGGACGAAATTTTTTTAACTGCTGAATTTTTAGCTATTACATCCGATAATAGTTTAATAAGAGCTTCAGTTGCTGTATTAAGATCTAACATGGAATAAATGGGTGCTAAGTTAAGTTTTTCGACTGTTTTATCAAGATTGTCAAAGTTAACTTTTGAAATAGTGGAAATTACATTATTTTTTGTTTCGTTTTCGATACACAAAACAGAGCAATAATGGTCAGTGATAGTGGTGTCGAAAACCAAAACCACAGCCATGTATTTGGTGCGCAACATAAAGTGTCTCCTCTGGATGGAAGGGTGTGAGCAGGAAGAAGACTATGGTATGCAAGACAATTGAGATATTCATGGCTGCGGGTATCTAAGGAAGAAGATTTTATACCTAGATTTATATCTCCAGTTATTATGACTGTCTTACATTTTGAAAGCGGTGTAAGTATAGAGTTGAGTGTCGAAAGAAACTCCTTTATGTTTTCATTTGATGGTGATCGATAAATGCAAATAAGCACTGTATTTGAATCAATCGTAGCAATTAGTCCAGACGCTGTGTTATTAAAATTTATTTCTTCAATATTTACCAAATAACATGATTTAATGTAAATAATTACCCCATCACTTTGATTTTGGTGTTTAAAAGTTTTGTACATAGTATAGTGATGTATATAAGGAATATTTTGATTACTTGAGCAGGGCAACCAGCACTCTGTTAAAACCAACACATCGCAATCAAATGAGATTCGGTCAAGTAAGGTTTGTAAACTAAGAAAGTTGCAATTTATCGATCTTATATTTTAATTTAGTATCTTTAGGAATTTGTTTGGTTGTTTAATATAATGTTTAGCCTCTTCCGGAGTACAATAATAGGATTCACTTAATGTACACTGGTCTATACTGTCGATGTATGAGTTAATATTATTCGCCATTTTTATTTTAAACATTTAAGACGTATAATTTGTATATGTAAGAGAATAAGATTGTATTGTTTATTTGAACAATAGACTGTACTGAATAGGTGTAGTTAATTACACAAGCAAAAAATGTAATAAATGAGGTATTTTTAAGTTGTAATTTACGGGCATAGGTTTTGTAATGGTTAGTACAGCGTTCAACGTACAATAGCGTATATAATTTAAAGCAAGATGTATCATGTTGATTATGGTGAGTGATTATCAGGAGTAATGGAGTTTTTATGAAATGTTTAATTGTGAATACTGTACGAGTTAGGACGAGTCTGATAAGTGAGTTTAAGTGTTTGTGTGTAGTATGTTTCGTTTGTTGGTTTGTGAGTTTATGTAGTGTTTGTGTTAAGATCCTAATTTTTAAAACTAATCCTATAAATATTAATAAGAAAAACAAAGAAATAAACCTTAAAATTAACATGTAACGTAGTGAATAGTTAAAATGTATTTCAAGGCACAATGAAGCAATATCTAGTCATTCACATTTTAGATCCTCGAATTGGGCTTCATTTCTAATTAATATCGCAGGTGATCCGTCTGATTTTCGTATAAAAACTTTTCCGTTTGCAGTCCAGCAAAACTTGTACATTTTTTCTTTTGATAACTGACGTGCCAGATAGTATATTTTCTTCGTACTAGGGGTAAGGTGTTCGGATACATACACTGGAGAGGCACTAGTATTTATACCAAAATGCGACACATTGAGTTTTTTACTAGGGTTGTTTTTATTAAATGATTTTACAGAGCTAAGTATTGTCTGCTTTTGTGACATGTTTGCTAATTCAACAATTATGGGTCTGGTGGAACCCTTTTTTCCAGGGCCACGAAATATATCCTTAATATCACACGATTGTAAATTAATATTTAATGTTTTCGAGAGGTAGATCACTAATTGCGTTAAATCGTTTTTGTTTTCTTTTTTCTTTTTCAGGAATATTACGTATCTCTATGCCATTTCTTCTGCTATTTCGATAGAGTTCCTCAACTTTTTCTTCCAGAGACATAATGTATGTATGATTATCTTTACATTGTTTTTCAAGCGTTGTTATTTTATTTTGCATATCCTCATATTTCTGAGATATAAATTCCAGTGACTTTTCTATGTCTGTATTTATCTTCTTTATATTTGTAAGACTATTTTCCATGTTAGATAGTCTGTTGTCATGATCAGCTTTCCATGACTTTAGCATTTGCATAACTTCTTCCTTGAACGAAAGAAAGTCATCCCTTGAGAGTTCATCGTGACGTCTTTTTTGTCTTGAAACCGCAAGCGAAGAAGGGGTTTTCGGTAGTTTGGAGATATCGGAGTCTGATCCTGCTTTATTCGGTGAACGAAGCATGATGATTTTTAAATATGTTGAGCAAAGCAATAATTTTCTGCAGATTAGCTATTTTATAATAGCAGGCGCTTCTTGAGCAAAGGCAGTGGGTGGAGCCAAAAATTATGCAGCCAATGCACGTTAGTATACACGCTGGCAATAATACAAAGGGCGTAGCTTACCTCTTCAATGAATCAGAATGGCACTACGTTACGAGTATGTTGCCCTGGTACACGCACGAATTTTTAGTATATTTTTGAAGAATTATTTTATTTATACTCACGGAGGACACGTCTGTTCGCTTTCGCGGTCCGGAGGGAAGGGAAGATCGCTATTCATTTGGTCTACTGGTAGATTTAAATCGTTAGAATTGATGTGCTGGTACAGCTGCATATCATCAGCTTAACATCAGCAGATACCTGATGAAATATTTTATTGATACATGCGCCTTGATAAACTCGGAGAAAAGCAAAGGAAATAAAACACTATTTATTAGTACACCAGCAACAACATTACACCGATCATACTAAGTACCATCCACACGTATGCTTTGCCAGCACCACTGACGACTAGAGCTAAACCAATTATCAGAAATTGAATGATTTTAGGATGACTAGCAAAATGTCGTAGTTCCTATAATTGAAATTATTTCTAAATTTATGGAGGACAAGGAGCGTAAGCTGATGGTTATCTATCACATAGCGGATATTTTCTATGACTTTTATCAGTGCTGCAGAAGAAAACCAGCCTGGAAAAAAGTTTAAAAGATTTTAACTGTTTAAGTTATTTGTGTCTTTGTGATAAAAAAAAACCTTTTTGAAGAAAAAAAGGGGAATATCGATATTTGCCCGTAATATCTGAAGCAAGTAGGAGAGTTATTTTTGGTAAAAAGTGGAAACGTGGAAAGGTGAATTCTAGTATTAGGGAAGATGCATTTTTTTTAATTAATTGAGTGAGATGGGAAATCATTCACGCAAAGCAAAACTAAAATTAACTCCTACAATATCTCAGGGATCTCAGTTTGTCCCGAAAATGACGTTGCCATAGTAGGTCTACAATTTAGATAAGTGACTTTCCGGCAGTCAGATCTCTTGGAAAAACTTTGGATCCTTTCCGCTCAATCGCTTCTTCAATACGAGCTGTGATGAAGTTGCGTCAGTCTTGCCGCATGTATTCGGAGATCTGTCTATTCAATTACCTGTATGATACTCGTATCAAATCTGCTGAAGACTACATTTTCATTTCCCGTCTAACAGATAATTTAATTTTAAATGTAATCGGAGAGATTTGGGATTTTTCTGCGACAGGTCTTGTTTAACTTTGCTCCGATTACAAGGACAGTTGCCACAAGGGATTTGTTATTTATGGGTATGTTTCCTGGAATTTCTATTTACATTAACTCTCAAAATATAACTTTAATATTATTTTTACATATTCGTTTCTATGGTATTCAATAAGAGTCAGTGAAATTGTTTTTAGGATTCAATAAAAAAGATTGGGGTTTATTTTTAGGACAGAATGATATTATATCCAAAATGATATACGAACATTTATTAAACAATATCCCGATACCATTCATATCATCACCCCCTGTGGGATTTACCAAAAGTTTTCTTTCTCAAACAACTTCTTTTTAGACTCGGCTAGCACCAGTTGTATCTTCCGAACCGAAAAGACTTAGGGACTTTCAAAAAAAGAAACTGCTATTTTTTAAAAGGTCAACAACGTCCTGCAATTTCCCTGGAATTTTCAAATGTTAATTTAGATTTGGTAACGAAGTAAAGAACCATTTTGTTAAGCAATAAATTTTAAAACCCAATGTTTCCTAGTTTATTTCGTCCATGTATTATGGGAGCTTGCAGCTCCGGTTTCAAATGGATCAATCATCGACAATTGTGAAATGTGAGGTCTCCCAGTCCTTTTGGATGAAAACACTGGCGGCGGGGGTCATTTAATATTCGGCTGGAGTAGGTGCAGTCACGATTTCAATTCTTAATCTAGAGTACATGTAAGTGTCTACGGGGTTCGGTATCTACTTGTCATCAGGTAAACTGTACGCTCGTTTCTAACGTTTACTTATTATAAACTGGGTGACTATTTTTACCGTCTGGAAAATAATATTGCACTAATAGTACAATACTGTTGTAACTCAAAATATGTTCAATTTGTGATAACATCATATTCAAACGCAAAATTCAGTTCCCTACGCGTCAATAATACCGTCGTTAGAATAGTGCAATAAACAAATAAGAGATGGCTCCATTTGTCATTGTTTATGATTGACCGACTGTTGTAAACCCCCACCCAATATTGTATCATCTTTAGTTACGATCGAAACTCGGCTAAGAAGGGTGTGCCGCATTGTGTTTTAGACCGTATTAATTCGAATTGGAACGTTATTGCTGAACAGGTATGTAAAAGTTAAACAATTTAATTCCAGTTAATACATTATAGTTGATTTAAACCTAAAGATAAATTTGGTGTATTTCTAGTTGTTACACTATTATTGATTCATAAAAATGACATTTAAAATAATATTTTTACTTACGACGTTCTTCTTGGTTTGGTTTAGTTTAATTTTAGACTTAATACAGTTTTGTTGAAGAATTTTAATTACCTTGTTTCTTGTGATAATTTGTTAACATTTAAACAAATACTTATTTGTTAATCACAGCATTTAAAGTTACGCATTCAAACATGCTAAAGTAAAAATAAGAATATTCTTATTAACTATTTTTTTTTTAATTATTTAGAGTTATTACATTCTTGTTGACATATAATATAGTCCTATAAGGTGACTTACTCAATAAATAATTGTTTTTATTTGTAGAATAAGTATGCACCGTGGGCGATTGCTTGTGGATATGGCGACAAAAACAAGGTCAAAAAATCACCAGGGGAAGGAAAACGACGAAATTTCATCATTGAAACCGGTGAGTGCAAACAATAAATGGTCTCAGAATGATGACAACAAAGCTGCGAAAGAACAAACGGCGTCCTCGATAACTTCACCTTCTACAATAATTAATCCAGTTCTTCAAGAAATTAACGTGAACAATACACTCAGTACGTCTAGTAATGTTGAATCAATGACCCAATCCAACCAAACGAAATATTACATTTCACCCCTGCACTCTGATGAGAGTGATTTTGATGATTCCGACTGTGACCCTCATTTTATTCCTGGTTCAACCAGTAAAGCTCCGAGTTTACATCGAAGTGGTGCGACAAAATCGTCATGTAGTTCTTCGTCAAGTAGCTCTTCTTCCAGTAGCTCTTCATCAAGTAGCTCAGATCAGGAAGCAGAGAATTCCTTAAGTTCCGTTGCATCAACTAGTAGATCAGCAATTCCAAACGGCTACAGAGTCAAATGTTCCCTCAGAAGTGCAGCACAATTTTTTAAAAATACACTCGGAATAAACGACAGACCAATTGCTACAGCATTATCAAAAAAAACAGAGACGGGTTTTGTACTGGAAGATATGCGAAGGAAACATGGTAACCAATGCACTGTGGAACCTGAAGTCTATGATAGTGTCAAACAATTTATTAATGCCATACCACGGATCGAATCACATTATCTTAGAGCCAAGACATCACGGGAGTACATTCAGTGTGATAAATCTTTAGCCGACTTATACCGTGACTACAAAGAAAATCGTACAAAAGAAAACCTACCATCTGCTTCTGCATCTACTTTTAACCGCATTTTTAATAAAGAATTTAATATTTCCTTCCATACGCCAAAGAAAGATCAGTGTGATCTCTGCGAAAGTTATAAAAATGCTGACGAAGAAGGAAAACAAAGGATTTTTATAATTTACGAAAATCACTTGAAAGAAAAAGAATTGTCCAGAAGAGAGAAAGAAATAGATAAAGCCAGGGTAGACAACACAATTGTCGCTGTCTATGACTTACAGGCTGTAATGACCGATACCAAAGGGTCAAATTTCTTTATTTTATTACAAAAGTAGGATTAATTGTTTTAACTTTACTGTGAGCGACTTACATGCTAAAAACGTTGAATGTTTCTTCTGGGGTGAAACTGAGGGAAATCGAGGTGCGATAGAAATTAGGAGTTGCATACTAAATTATATAGAAAAATATACACAGGCTAATCCTAATAAAGAACTAGAATTCATATTTTACTCTGATAATTGCTGTGGCCAGCAAAATAATAAGTATCTCCTTGCACCTTACGCTTATGCGGTACAAAAATTGGATGTTAAAAGTATAACCCACAAATTTCCGATTCGTGGTCACTCTCAAAATGAGGGTGACAATGTGCACAGCGTAATTGAAAAGCAAGTAAAGCGCTTCCTGAAATCTGGGCAAATATATGTTCCACAACAATACGTCACTTTAATTCAGACCGCTAAAAAGACGGGACAACCTTATAGAGTCAATGAAATGACTAATGATAAATTTTATGATCTTAAATTACTTCAAGAGCAGTGGGGTAACAATTTTAATGTGAACACGGATAGAAACCAAGTAAAATGGCACGACATTAAGGTGCTTCGTGTTGTAAAGGAACACAAATGACTTTTTTCTATAAGAATTCTTACGAAGATAAAAACTACAATAATTTTTCCGTACGTAATACATGACGAGCTGGGAACCAAACGTTGGATTTATTTTCTGTTGGATTGACACAAGCATATACGAGTAAAATACCTTTAAATGAAAATAAAAAAGAGACTTATAAAAGAACTGCTCGACAAAAATATAATTCCCAGATCCTATTATGAAACATACTTTCGAGCTGTGATTGATTAGTTTTAACTAACTAAAAAAAGTATTATTATTAATATCGTGATTTGTATTGTTAATTATTTATAACTAATGCTCCCTTAAACTTGTTTAAGTATACTTATTATAGTATAAATTCTTTTGCCTAGGTCCAGTTTAATGACAACGTACCATTACTGTGCAATTTCAATAGTAATTAATTATTTATATGTATGGGTATAATTATAGTATTTTAATTTCCCCCGTTTTTTACACTAAGACACATTTTGTACTTGTTTCGGAAGTTTTTTTATTTAACTAAGTACAATTGTTTAAATAACATTTTAATTATCTTTTTTTATAAATAAAGACTGAATATGTGACTGTTTTTCTTGATTACCTGGTTTTATTTATCAATGTCCTAACCTTAGTATGAAAATAATTATGTTGAAGTTGGAAAACCAAATTTAAAAATTGTAGTAACTCAAAATGTTTCGATAATAACTATACAACTAAAAATAATTCATCTTTCTGAAAACTTTGTTCCGGACAATACAGTCTTAACTCAAAAATTGGTAATTATATACTACCGAAAAATTCAAAAAAAAATTTCAATGATATTTGCGTTAATTTTATTAATAAACCTAATAAAGCATTAATTTTTTTTATAATTTATAATAGGAAGTGAATAATAAATTTTTCGACGATTCCGAAAAAAGTCACTTTTTGAGGTACAACAGTATTGTACTATCAGTGCGATATGGTATTTTGTGTAAGTGGAATAGAAGCAATCCCCGAAATAATTTGTAAAATATAACAAAATATAACTATATAAGCAAAATTTCCGAATATCCATAAAAATACATAAAAACAATTCATCCCAAGGCGTTTGCATAGAAATGAAATTTCCTACTGAATGAAAGTTGTAGGGGCCAGCGCAACTCATGCACATTTCTTCTATTATGAGGGCACCAGGTGGCCGAGTACGGTCGGCCAACAAATCGTTGCAGCCAATATTTTGAGAATTAGTTGATACGCGCCTTACATTAACAAAAAAGTATTTTTCTCTTACAGGTATTTAGGCACTTTTGATATTTATTTTTGATTTCGACCGCCTCGTGCCACTTGGTTACTTGTGGTTGCATAGAAATGAAATTTCCTACTGAATGAAAGTTGTAGGAGCGAGCGAAACTCATGCACATTTCTTCTATTATGAGGGCACCAGGTGGCCGAGTAGGGTCGGCCAACAAATCGTTGCAGCCAACATTTTGAGAATTAGCTGATTCGCGCCTTACATTAACTAAAAAGTATTTTTCTCTTACAAGTATCTAGGCACTTTTGATATTTATTTTTGATTTCGACTGCCTCGTGCCACTTGGTCACTTGTGGTTGTAGTAGTGAAACAGCTGATCATGAGGTCAGGGGTTTTATTCCTGGATTGGGATAAAAAAACAATTTTATTGAGTTTACCAAAAAAGTCCTCCATAATATAATCTTATAATTTCGTGGATTATGTAACACATTTATTTTGAGGTGATCAAATATTAAGTGCATTATTGTATTTCTTTTCACAATTGTATTCATTTTAGCACATATTGATGACCAATTTTACAATCAAGAAAAGATAGTTTGTAAGTGGCGAATGGAGTAGAAGTTACAGATAAGATATTTTATAAAAAATAAAAACAAATTTTTTGAATTAAATAAATAAATCAATTAAAATCTATCTAAACTCAAATCATACCCACCCTACTTTACGAGCGGCAATAATATCAATGAATATGTAACGTGATTTTTATTTTAAACAACCGATACTAGACGCACCGGCTGTAGGCCTCTTTGATGTCCTTTAGTAGGCACAAGTGCCTCCGGCGCATACCTGCTCCCGCCTGCGCTCCATAGCTTATAGTGGTCGAACTCATCGCTTAAACGTCGCTCCACTTGGGCTTGGGAGCACCGGCCTCCATCCATTTCAGAATCAGCTTGATGTCAGGATCTTCCTGCTGTGCATGTTGTAAGCTGTCCTTCCACTCGTTGCTGAGGTGGTCTGTCCTAAGTATCCTCACGGATACTGAAAAGGAACCAGACAAACGTTAAACTAAGAAACAGAAGGAGGAAATCGAGGCTTCTCTCGATCCGGCCTCCTACAACGCCTACGTTGGGTTCGAGAACAACGCATGTGATCTCCGCAACGGAGTAACACACAAGGGCGATAACCTCTTCCTTTTCAGAAAATAGGTTCAGGCGGGGATTACGGGTCTTCCGAAGTCGTCCCGGTCCCAACGCCTTAATTCTTCGATATGGACTGTATCACTTTAAGGGGAGAATTCCTTGGGAATAAAACAGCAATTATCTTCAAACCGTTCCGTGAGAGAGTAATTACTTTTCCCTATCACTTCCCTATACTTTTTCTTTCTTCTTCTTATTGACTGCTGGTCTTGCACTTTTCCCGAACGATTTGCAAGAAAAATCAATTTACTGAACTACCTCGAAGCTAAACGCGAAAGTGAGCCGCGCCATTTGTGCGCTTGCGCAACTCAATTACATCAATTTGTGCTATCACTCTCTCACGGTTTGCTCAATAACTTTATTTGTATAAGACATACATTTATACAATTTACTTATAAAGATAGCACAAAAAAATATCTATACTACGATATACATTTCATTTTCATATCACAAAAAACCCTTTATTTATTTAACAAAATATGCTTATTTTACTCACATGTTCAAAGTTGGAATTTCTTAAATATTTAACATAGAAAGTTAAAACAATGTTTTACACTTGAAATTATACATATCTTAACTAATACAATAGTTTAATTTACATTTTCTCTATACATTTCACTATTAAAACACTTTTAAATTTCTTATACAAAACTATCATTATTTCACTTATTTACAGGAATTTTCACATGAAATAACAAAGAATTCACCTCTTTTATACGTACAATGAATCTGAAATGTTTTACAAGTCGTTTTACATAAATTGCTGAAATTTGCAAATATTAAAATTTCTACATATTTGGCCTCCTAAGTACGTGGCTAGCGTGCGTCTATGAACTCACACTATTTGAACAACTAACTTTTGCACGGTTATCGACTATCAGTAAAAATGGAAAGTTTAGTATACACTAATATCAACAATACTAGGTGAATAAATGATTCTACAAAATTCTCAAACGCCGAAAACTATTTCTAATCAGATTCTTATCAGTTACAATGTTTCTTATCAAACAATATAAGTGAATGTTTTCATAAATCAATCATAGAAAATAGGCATTTGTTTTCATACAAAACATATCAAACTCATATAAGACAATACTTATGTAATTAATTTCCATTAATTCTACTTATGCACAGCGATCATCGCGACCGGGGAACAAATCCTGGTCTCTAACTTTATTTTAATATTTGTTTAAATTAACATTATTGGAAAGATGATTTCGACCGGGGAACAAATCCGGTAACATAATTTATATCTTAAAAATTCTGTATATTTTTGAGAGATATTACTAAGAAAACGATAAACTATTCCGGCCTGGGAGTCGAACCCAAGACCTTCATATCATTAATTCGATATTTCTTTAAGAATCAACTAAGCATTTCTTTTATCGGAATATTGTTGCTTGATAATTTGCTTTTTAGAAGCTATTCGTAATCGGTTAACTAATAAATTGAAATATTCTTATAGGCGCGTCGCCAAAAATCTCCCCCCGTGCATCAGCACCATTATTTGGGAGGCGTCGCGGGTACCAGGACTATTATTCTGGATGTAGGTCTCCTCAAGATACCTGTGCTAGTAATGACGTCAACCACTCTAGTTTGACCGTCTGGTCCCGGTAGCGTCCTACTAATCTTGCCTTTCGGCCACGTATTTCGTAGCAATGAATGATCTATTATCAAGACAATATCACCTTGTTTAGGCTCTATAAACTTTCCGTTATTACCTGTTCGAGGTATTAAAGTAGGCATGTATTCTTTTAGCCATCTTGTCCAAAAATGGTCGGCTAACCTCTGTGCAGATTTCCAATTGAGTTGACCCGTCAGATGTTGCTCTAAAAATAATCCAGGTGGTCGATCACCACATGAGCGTCCCAGAAGAAAATGATTGGGTTTCAAACCCTCTTCAGGACTATCCATACTGAATGTTACCAGAGGTCTGGAATTTACAGTATGCTCTGCTTCCAAAAGCAACGTATGCAGAACCTCCTCTCGCGGGCTCCTTTCTTTGAGCGTAGCG